TAAATTTACGCAGTGCTTTTACATATATATTGTACATTCACATCAGTCCCTAACCCTCAAGGGGCGTACAATCTAAAGTCCCTAACTCACATTCATACACATACCAGGGACAATTTAGACAGGATCCAATTAACCTACCAGCATGTCTTTGGAGTGTGTGAGAAAACCGCAGTACCCGGAGGAAACCCACGCAGGCACAGGGAGAACATGCAAACTCCAGGCAGGTGGTGCCAAGGCTGGGATTCGCACCAACGACCCTAGTACTGCCAGGCGAAAGTGCTAACCATTTAGCCACTGTGCTGCCCAATACCGCCTCTACTGCCGATTTGATAGCCACCTTTGTTAACCCAGTAGAGCGTCATGATGTCATTCATGTATGAACATTGACATAATTACCATTTATACCATGTTACATGGGGGTGCCCTTGCTGTACATACTACCGTGCATCTGCAGTGTTTAGCATGGAGGAATCAGATTTCTTTTGTTCAGCCCACAGGCTTGTGGACAGGTGCCTACTTAAAGTTACTGTCACTCCTGTTTTGTGAATTGCTGACTGGTGCTGCAGGGGTTAAGTGTTTCTTACTGTGATGTGTCTTCCCCTGTGTGTGACTCACATCACATTGTAAAGGGGATATACACAACAAAGTGGTGATGTCTGGGCTTGGATGCAATAATCACCAACTGTAGTATGTTATCCGTTGTTGTGGTAGAGTTACCCTTTAATGGGACCCAGGTGAAGCTTCCCACAAGGATGAACTCATTACTATTGAAGTGACTTTTCCCTTAATGAGTTACTAAACCCAGGACCCTGCATTCACTATATCTGGTCTCCCACAGTACACACAGCAGAGAAATGCAATTATTTTAATAAATATAAACTGCTAAATAACTTTTCTCATCATCAGTTAGAGCAGTCTTGTGACTTCTATCAGTGTCCAGCAGAGCACTGGTTAAAGCTTGTAGGAGGAGTTTTCATTCTGCTCTGCCTGTCCTATGAGGATGCATAACCCCTGACCCTCTGTCTGGAATTGCTGATTGGCTCTGTGCTGATCACATACACTCCCCCCCCCCCAAAAAAAAAAAAACCTCTCTAGCAATACACGCTAAACTGAGCATGTGCAGAGTGACTCCTAGAGTTCTGTACTATCAGCAGAGGGATTGGAGACAGTAGAAGAAGGGGAGGATCAGAGAAGTTGGGATCAAACACCCTTTTTACAAAATGCAGAGGATTAACCCTTTACATTCCACTGTGTTTATAACAAATATGCTTTACTGCATATACAGACTGATTTTACTGATGTGGGTTTAAGGTGCCGCGAGGTAGCCAGCTGCACAACACAACCACAATGAAATGTGATGGACCTCATGAGAAAAGACTTTTCTAAAATCAAGAATGTCATGTTAAACCTTTTTATACTACCTCAAGATGTAATATACCAATTACAAGGATCCCTATCATAGGTCCCACTGTGGTACAAAGTCCTCCTAGGGACTGAAACTGAACCACAGTGTGCAAGGCCTTGCAAATAGAAGTACGGTAGCTTTCCTCTTTGCCTTCAGACTGGACAGGTCTACTGTGTTATGAAGAGCTGGTAAAGACAAGTCAGTGTTCTGCGCTACTTATCTCAAAATGACTTTGTAGTCGCTGGCAGGACTGGAGACACAGTCCTTCTGAGTGTGGGACTCTGAAATGTGTGTGGCCCCTGGCCAAAGAGTGTTGCTAACCCACACTAACGTATTGTCAACTGAACATTGCAAATGGACTGTAGTTTCCTCTAGGGCAGGGGTGGGCAACTGTGGCCCTCCAGATGTTGGTGAACTACAAGTCCCATCATGCCTCTGCCTTTGGGAGTCATGCTTGTAACTGTCAGTTTTGCAATGCCTCATGGGACTTGTAGTTCTACAACAGCTGGAGGGCCACAGTTGCCCACCCCTGCCCTAGGGGTTCCCTGCCAACATTCTGAAGGAAAGAAATCTGTACATGTACAGCCAGCTTTAATTGAGCCACCTCCTCCTTTGTTAGTCAGTAGGCCAGGTGCCTACTACAGTCCCACCGAGAGTCCCAGCTTCAATGACATCCAACTGTTAAGTAAGTAAGTGAAGTTTGTGGTCTTAGCACAGCTGTACTGAGCACTAGAGAGAATTAGAAGAGCAAAGATTAGAAAAGCAAACATTCTAGTAGCTGGCTGTAGTGGCTCTCTATCTCTTTTAGAGGTGGGATTATTAAAAATTGGAAGGCCAATCAGTACGTGTCCTTAAAATGCAATTTTCGGTGTAATTAGCAGCATTAAGGTCAGTTTCAGCTTGCTCTAGAAAGACAAGGTCACATGACCGTCAGACAGATTGTCATTCCGGTTGCAGAGGATTACAGTATTTTGATTCCTATAACTCACTATCAAGTAGTGAAATTACACTGGGAACGCTTCCAACATAATAGCACGCATTGTTATACGGTCAGCTTCCCCCTCACCTAAATTCAGTCACTTATTTACGCCACATACTTGATATCTGTGAGCCGATGAAAGAGAACCTGAACATAATGGAGATCAGATCATTTATAGTTCAGGTTAAGAGGATACAAATCTCATTATGTTTGTTTGCAAATTGTGAGAATACTATGGCTCATTTTCTGGAGCAGAGAAGAAAGCGGGAGCTTTCCCACATGGAAGAAAAATATATTTGAAATACTACAATTTTGCCATATTCAATATATTTCAATATATATATATATATACAGTGAAAGAAATAAGTATTTGATCCCCTGCTGATTTTAAATGTTTGCCCACTCACAAAGAAATGATCGGTCTAAAAATCGAATGGTAGGTGTATTGTAGCACTGAGAGACAGAATAGCAACAACAAATTCTTTAGAAATGCATGTCTAACAAATTATGCACTGATTTGCATGTTCATGAGGGAAATAAGTATTTGATCCCCTTCACAAAACATGACTTAGTACTTGGTGGCAACTCCCTTGTTGGCAATCACAGAGGTCAGACGTTTCCTGTAGTTGGTCATCAGGTTTGCACACCTGAGGGATTTTTGCTCACTCCCCTTGTCAGATCCTCTCCAAGTCATTAGGGTTGGTGGCTGATGTTTGGCAACTCGAACTTTCAGCTCCCTCCACAGATTTTCAATCAGATTAAGGTCTGGAGACTGGCTAGGCCACTTTAGGACCTTAATGTGCTTCTTCTTGCACCACTCCTTTGTTGCCTTGGCCGTGTGTTTTGGGTCATTGTCATGCTTTTTTGTGGGCCATCCACGACCCATTTTCAATGCCCTGGCTGAGGGAAAGGTTCTCACCCAAGATTTGACAGTACATTGCCCCGTCCATTGTCCCTATGATACGGTGCAGTTGTCCTATCCCCTTAGCAAAAAAACACCCCCAAAGCAGAATGTTTCCACCACCATGTTTGACAGTTGGGATGGTGTTCTTGGGGTCATAGGCAGCATTCCTGCTCTTCCCAAACACAGCGAGTTGAGTTGATGCCAAAGAGCTCGATTTGGTCTCATCTGACCACAACACTTTCAACTAGTCCTCCTCTGCATCATTCAGACGGGCCTGGACATGTGTGTTCTTGAGCAGAAGGACCTTGCGAGGACTGCAGGATTTCAATCCCTGTCGGCATAGTGTGTTACCAATTGTTTTCTTGGTGACTATGGTCCCAGCTGCCTGGAGAATATTGACAAGATCCTCACGTGTAGTTCTGGGATGATTCCTCACTGTTCTCATGATCGTTGACACTCCACGAGGTGAGATCTTGCATGGTGCGCCAAACCTAGGGAGACTGACAGTTGTTTTGTTTTTCTTCCATTTGCAAATGATTACACCAGCTGTTGTCACCTTCTCACCAAGCTGCTTGGCGATAGTTTGGTAGCCCAGTCCAGCCTTGTGTAGGTCTACAATCTTGTCCCTGACATTCTTGAACAGTTCTTTGGTCTTTGCCGCGGTGGAGAGTTTGGAATCTGATTGTTTGATTGCTCCTGTGGACAGGTGTCTTTTATACAGGTAACAAAATGAGATTAGCAGCACTCCCTTTAAGAGACTGCTTCTGATCTCAGCTTGTTACCTGTATGAAAGACACCTGGGAGCCAGAAATCCTGCTGAATGATAGGGGATCAAATACTTATTTCCCTCATGAGCATGCAAATCAGTGCATAATTTGTTAGACATGCATTTCTTCTGAATTTTTTGTTGTTATTCTGTCTCTCAGTGTTACAATACACCTACCATTCGAATTTCAGACTGGTCATTTATTTGTGAGTGGGCAAACATTCAAAATCAGCAAGGGATCAAATATGTATTTTCTTCACTATATATAAATCATGCTTGTTGTACTCACTGTGGAACCTAAGGGGTTAATCCTCTGCATTGTGTAAAAAGGATGTTTGATCCTGTATTCTCTGCTCTCCCCTTTCTTCTACTGTCCCCAATCTATCTGCTGATGAACAGAGCCTTGGAGGCAAGCTGCACATGCTCAGTTTGGTGTATATTGCTACAGAGTTTTTTTTCTTTCTTGGGAGAGTGCATGTGATCAGCCCAGGGCCAATCAGCACTGTCCAGACAGAGGGCCAGGGGTCCAGAAGCCTCATAGGACAGTCAGAGTAGAATGAAAACTCCTCCTACAAGCTTTAACCAGTGCTCTAGACACTGATAGAAATCACAAGACTGTTCTAACTGCTCACAAGAAAAGTATTTAGCAGTTTATATTTACTAAAATAATTGTATTTCCATGTTGTGTGTACTGTGGAAGACAAGATATAGTGAATGCAGGGTCCGGGGTTTAGTAACACTTTCAGTACAAAATTCACAACACTGGTATATATACATAGGATAGAGAAATGTGCAGAATATGATGTTATCAGAAAGCAAAATCAAAAATGTTTTGCTCCATTTCCTACTGCTCATCACTAAAAACTCCTCGTTGCACAACCTCTGACAAACCTGGAGGAATCTGCTGAGTGTTACATTATAACTCAGCCACTTGCTGCTCAGTTACCGGATCAGGTCCAGCAGAGCGTCCGCTGAGCTCATGACGGGCTTCCCGTTGTGTTCTGTGTTCTCCTTTTGCGCTGCACCCCCTGGATGGATGATGGATACCATGATTATCCCCACAATCACTGCCACAAAGGTAGTCCACAGGTAGTAGGCAATTGTGATAATGCCCAGGCGGCTGGACGTTTTGGCATCGAGAGCAGCCAACCCCGACATCAAGCTGAAGATACAAAGAAGGATATTATCAAAATCATGTCTTCATTATATGCATTATGAAAAAAAACATAAAAACAGCACAAACAGATATTAAATATACATCCCAAAGACTCAATTAGTGCAGAAAAAATAATATTTTGTTGAGATACATATTATTAAATATATTGTAATATTATTATAATTTTTTTCCGGCACTAATTGAGTCTTTGGGATGTATATTTAATATGTTTGCGCTTTTTATATGTTTTTTCCTATTTTATTAGTGTTATCACTAAGGATCAGCAGCATTCTTGGGAATAATTTCACAACATTTTTTGGCGCTGGTGATTTGTTTGTTTATTTTATGCATTATACTTTTCTTCAGACGATTAGATCACTCAACCACAATCAGCGTTTATGTAAGGGTGAAAAGAAATAAAACATTCAGGGCTGTGTGGTCACCAGCCTCCCTTTATTACAAGGCAGATCTTAAAGTAGAACTATAGGCACATTTTTTTTTTTATCATTTTATATAGAGCAAGGAAGCACTATAACCACTGTCAGATTTTTTCCGCCATCTGTATCCCATTGAGGAGATCTCTCTTCACTTCCTGTCCCATAGCCAAAGAGAAAGTGAGAGGAAATCCCTGCAAATTAAGGGAATTCCTTAGGGACCCCCAGGTCACCAGAACTAGTGTCCCCATTAGAAGATTTCCTCTCTATTGCTTTCTGGGGACAACCCATAATTTGTGGCTTCTTGAACCAACAAGAGCTTTCTTTCTTGTTCTTCAAGAATGGCTCCCAAATAGATAAGAGCAGGCAAAACATACTTCTAATTGTTTGGTATGAGTGACAGGTCAATCAGCATGCTAGCACCCCTGACAGTGTACAAACCCAATTCCAAAAAAGCTGTGTAAAATCTACATAAAAGCAAAATGCAATGATTAGCAAATCTCATAAAGCCATATTTTATTCACAATAGAAAATAAAACCACTAAAACCCATGTCTTCTACAACTACTACAAATCTGGTTCTATATATTTGATGAACTTGCTAATATAATTATTATTCGTAAATTCTTTTACTTATGAGACGCAGAGCTAATACATTAATACAAACAGTGCAAAACAGTTCACCATTGTACAAAGGTAAAGTATAAAATACAATTCATTATACTTAACAAGAATTGTGAACAATAAAGCACTGCATTATTGAAGTTTGGTGCCCTGATGTGTATTTGGGAGGAGTTGCTATATTGTTTTGTGACTCTGTGTCTATAGGAAATGGGTGAAGGGGAAATTTCTCCATTTTTTGTCAGGTAGAGGGAGATTTTATAGGGGAAGTGTAGAAATGTTGGGGTGGGAGAGGGTGTGTGGGACGGGCATTCTGGGGCATTGGGAGAGGGGATAGCAGAAGGTGGGAGATGTACGGAAAAGGGGTAGTGTCAAAAAGGGAAGGTAAGGGGGACAACAAGAGGGGTGGTAGGGAGAAGAAGAAGAAGGAGTGAGGAGGAAATTCAGAAGGAGAGACCAAGGGGTTTATTTACTAAAGCTGGAGAGTCCAAAATCAGACTCCCTTCTGCAGAGAAACCAATCAGCTTCAAGGTTTCATTGCCAAAGCTTCATTGAACAAGCTGAGGTTAGAAGCTGATTGGTTTCTATGCAGAAGGGAGTCTGATTTTGGACTCTCCAGCTTTAGTAAATAAATCCCCAAGTGTCTTAGGTGGATGCCATGGTGTAGACAAGTGGATCAAGGGTCTCTCTGCCCCTTCTGAGAGCATGATGGTGATCCAGTAAAACCATGATGTCTGGTATGTGTTGTGTCTGTTTGGCAGAAAATAACGAGGGCTTCCATTTTTCTGATATCTACTACTCTACATAGCCACAGAGATATTAAGGGGGGAGAGAGGGCTATCCATTTTAGGGGGATATACACTCACTGGCCACTTTATTAGGTACACCTTTGCTATTGTCAAGAAAATATTCCCCACACCATTACACCACCAGCCTGAACCATTGATACAAGGCAAGATGGATCCATGCTTTCATGTTGTTTATGCCAAATTCTGACCCTACCATCTGAATGTCACAGCAACCAGTCTGTCCATTCTCCTCTGACCCCTGACATCAACAAGGCATTTTTGTCCACACAACTGCCGCTCACTGGATATTTTCTCTTTTTCGGACAATTATCTGTAAACCCTAGAAATGGTTGTACGTGAAAATCCCAGTAGATCTGGCACCAACAACCATGTCAGGTTCAAAGTCACTTAAATTCTCTTTCTTCCCCATGCGGATGCTCAGTTTGAACTTCAGCAAGTCATCTTCACCACGTCTACATGCCTAAATGCATTCAGTTGCTGCCATGTGATTGGCTGATTAGCAATCTGTGTTACCAAGCAATTGAACAGGTGTCCCTAACAAAGTGGCCGGTGAGCGTATAGTAGGTTTTGGCAGCATTTAGGAGATGGTGAAGGATAGATTTCTTGTACATTTTAGTGGAGATGCAACAAGAAGAAGGCTGGGTCATCTGGAATGATAAAATCAGTACATTTTTGGGAAACCTCTCTGACTTGAAGGGTCAGAATTTTGGCTGCCACTACAACACATGGAATATCAAGTCTTTGCCAGTGTTACAGCACCAGCCAGGGCAGTATTTGTAGATAGCTGTCAGGGTTCTGTAGCATCAAGAAAAGATTTCTTCATTGATTTCTTGGCATCTGGATATATAAAGGATTTGAAATAAAAGTGAAATATTTTGCTAAGTTCATTTGTAAGCATTTGAAATATTTAACAATACCAGTTCTTGTGACTTTCCCTGGAAATTATGAATTTCTAATTATAGTGTGACTAGAGGAGACATGCCACTTGCCATTGCAAGCCCATATAGCTAAGGAAACTGGCGAACAATTCATAGTTGGACCTGGGATAGAACGATTTGTTATGTTTTCTCTGCACCTGTTTGCGAACAATGCAGTGCTCTGTTTCTACACTTGGATCTGGAAAAACCACAAATCACATGCAAAAAGCCATCTGGACACTGATCCCAAATCACATGGATTATAACAGAAGCTGTCTGGTTTTCTTATACTTAGGCACTAATCTTCAGAGAAGGAAGCTCTTCCACCTTCTTCTTACACTGAGGAGGACTCCAGGGAATACCTTACACAAAGCAGAGGAAACCCAGCACATATCTCAAACCCCGAGTGACCCCAGGGCATGCCCTGTGCATGATTTACTACTTCACTCTCTGACCTTGGACAGTGCATCTTGCACATTGTCCAGCAAAGTACAATAATCCAAAGCAGTCTTTCAGGATACGTCCTTTAGTGACCCGACTATAGTAAGAGCCGGTTCACATGTATGTGGTGGCATTTTAGGTGCATTACCAGTGAGCTCTAAATAAAATGCATTTTCATGAAAGCGCGTTAAAGATGCAAAAAGCATCTAAAATGCACAGGTATGAATGGGGCCTAGAGTGTTTTTGGCTGACATCGGTCAATGCACCTTGTGCATCATCCTTAGTGAAGATGCCTAAGACTTGATTCACACCTTTGTTGTGCATTAATGCATGCACGCATGTTAATATGCATTTCCATAAGGCAGCACATGTGTTTTGAATGGTCTGCCAATGGACCTCAACTGACCATTTAAGGCACATGCGCCTTTTTTTCCTGCAGTTCCAGGTCACATCTGTGCACTGTAATGTGCTTAAATACAAGAGTGCTGAGGTGTCATTCAAAGTGAATATGGTTTTAATGTGACACCTTCAGTTTAACTGCTTCCCCTCCATCCTATAGCAGAAATACAGCTACAGGGCAGCAGGGGTGCGCAAGATCACATATATATACGTGACTTTGCAGTTCCGGTTAGGGAAGACACGCACAGTGGTGTATTTAGGTTTCGTGCTGCCCTAGGCAACACAAAAATCACCCCCCCCCCCCACGGAGAGACCCTGACACTGACCAACACCCCCCCCTCCCCCACGAAGAGAGCCTGACATTGACCAACACCCCAGCCCCCACCCTTCCACTGCCACCACCCCCCATACTCTGGTAACCCCACCACCCCGGCGAGAGAGAAGACACTAACCTTCAAAGCTCCAGACATCCCCGGGAACAAGAATCATGCTCTGCATACACCATCAAGCAGACCACAGCCTCTCTCAGATCTCATCTGGACCCATGCTGTGCGTGTCTCTTCTTCCATCCCTTCTTTCGGGGGGCAGCGCTGCCCCCCTGAAAAATGCCGCCCTAGGCAGATGCCTTGTTTGCCTTGTGGAAAATTCGCCCCTGGAGCGCCCTACCTGGCCGCCATTCACAGCCTCGGCTGTCTGTCACCGGGTCCCAGATGGTGATTACTCGGTGATCGCTGAGTATTACTGATGGGAGAGAGAACTGTATGTAAACAATACAGATCTCTCCCCTGTCAGCTCCTGTACATTTACAGTGGAAAGCACACACACAGCATACTGTGAAACAGCACACGACACACAGTTAACTCTTTGATTGCCCCAGATGTTAACCCCTTCCTGCCCAGTGCCATTAGTACAGTATCAGTGCTTTTTATCACTGATCACTGTATTTTCAGGACATCCGGACGTCCGGCGAGACGGGACGTGTCTCGGCGAGCTCCTGCTCCCCCGGCCCCAATCCGCTGCCATCTGGGCGGCAGCGGACCCTGACGGGGGCCCCACGACCCTCCGGTCCCTGTTCGCCAGCCAGGGAAGGCCACTGGACCTTTCTCCCGGAGCTCCGGGACTTGCGGCTACCCGGCACCTGAAGCCGCGGCCTCGATTTCTGGCGCGGCCGACCAGGATCGCCGGACATCAGCCCGGACTACTGCCACTCCGCTCCTCGGTCCCCGCCGATCAGGGGATCCCTGCGCCCCTACCCGCTGCCATCAGGGCCCATCCGGGCCCCTGTGCCTGCTGCCGAGGTCCCCACCAACACCCACAGTCACTCCGTCCCTCCAGCGGAGCTCCGGCGGTTCGCAGCAGCCTGAGGCCTACCGCGGCACCCG